TCTTGAATAATTTTCGAGATCTAACGAAAAAAAGAAAAATTAATTTATATATAAAGGGTAGATTCATCCCTTTAAACCGTTTTTTAGCCCCAACTAATAATTTCTAAATTCATCTATTTATGTGACTTCAAAGTGTAAGTTTCATTAAAATCAGAATTACATTGTATATATATTGTATGTATGTATGTATGTCATGTTTCAGTGATACTGAATAAATGGCGCGCGCGAAGCGCGCGCTGTTTTGTTCTAGTTACTTTAAATATAAAACGACAACTATGGTAAACTGTTAAAAAATAAGTAAAGTCAAAATTAATAATTAGAAAAATTTAAGGCCCACATTATTAGTCGATTAGTCGTTTTGTATGTCAAATCTCACCTCAAAAACATGAAGGTGACAAGTAAAAATATTTTTTTGTATACTCTAAGTTCAAAAAATTATACGTTCTTTGAATTGTAAAACATACTTTTTCGAAAAAATTTAAGAGAAGATTGTAAAATGTAGCTGCACATTAAAAGTGATTGGAAAAAGTGAATCTGCAAATATGACGCGAAACACCGAAAGCATTTTGATTAAAAATCTCTATTAATTTTCTATGAAAAAAAAATTAGACTTACCGAAAGGTTGCTCCGACGATGCCCGATGTTTCTCCAAGACCCGATGCCTCTTCCACCATCTCTCAGGATTGAATTGTCAAACTTCCTTTTCCTCACACACAGGACACTCACGAAAAAAAGGGACAATATGCCATAATTGCACGCGGACTAATTAATTATATTAATTATATTAACTAAACTATTACTTTAATTAATTATATTAATTATATTAACGAGGATAATCTCAAAACCCGAAGCGTGATCGTTTAAATAGGCGCGAAATATTTAACAATCGTATTATTAATTATCAAAGACGTTCGCAAGTCACAGGACGTGGTCGTTTAAATAGGCGCAAGAAATTCAACAGTCTTATTTATAATTAACAAAGACGATCGCGAGCTCCGAAACGCGGTCGTTTAAATAGGCGCGAGATATTTAACAATTGTATTATTAATTAACAAATACGTTCGCGAGCTTCGTTGTTGTCTAAATAGGCGCAAAAATGTTAACAATGATATATGCACGTTTACCTTTTAATAGTCTTCGACGGTAGGAAATTGCTTTTTTAAAAATTTTTGATTTGCTCAATTTACAAGAAATAGTAAAATGCACGCCATGTATGCCTCCTGTGAATTTTCGACGGTAGAAAGTTACATTTATAAAAATTTTTTGTTATTTTTAACCGAAAATGTTCAAAATTTTTTATCCCAAAAAATAATTTGGACAAAGATTTGTTTTCGCCAACGCTATTTAAACTTTTTTCTCGCGCTTTTTTATGATATCTCATTGTATTTTACAAATTATCTTTCCGTTTTTCAAAATGCTTAAGCTAATTTTATTGATGTTATATTTCTTTTTTAGAACAATTAACTTTTGAATTACTGTTGTATATTTAAACAGTTTATTAAGAAAATATTTTCAACTTTAGATAGGATGTAAGTTTGAAACTTTTTTTTGTACTTGGCTTAGATTTTCTTTTTTTAAAAGGTTTTAGAAATAATTTAAGTAATAAGTAATTTTGTGTTTTCCGCTTTATTTTTGGGAAGCAGCGGTAATATATTATTTCACAAAAATATATCTACATTTGTATGTATAAAGAGAAACGATTACATCTTATACTGTGGAAATGACTACTAGACAACAGATCTTTTTTTGATTACCTTCATAGTAGAAACTATTCAAGTGATAGTCAATTTAAGCACCGCTACTACAGCACGAGATAATTATTTTTCTTATAGTTATGCCATAACTCGTTATATTCAAGAGAATTTAAAATAATGCAATTTATAAGTATAGTTGAACATACATAAAAATAATGTTATTTAAAGTGTAAATTCCAAAATAAATAAATAAAATTTTATATTAATTTAACGTATATTAAACATTATTGTAATTTGATCAAAGAAATATGCTACTACAATTTGCTTCCCAATTGTCATCTTTAAGTTTATCTTTTTACGTCATATTTATATTACTTTCTAACACATTCACTTTGTCAAATTAATACAAAAGATGCGTTCTGTTTCATGCATGATGCGCATAATGTATCATTTTATCCTTGTTTAATATTCAGTGACAAGAATATTCAGTGATAAGCTGAATGCATATCATGCATGAAACGGAACGCACGCAAAAATTTGGATGGATTGACATGTTAAATTTAACATAATTTTTCCAACTGTGTACATACTTTTATCAGTATACAAAATTACCTTTTCTAAAAAAAAAAAAAAAACGTTTTGTGATTAACTGCGATTTGTGACTGCATGACCGTGTTTCGAAAATCGCAATATCATGATATCGAATCGAAGCGGCGAATCAATTACGTCGCAGTAATAAAACCATATGTTTCCTTCGCATTCTGCGTTTTAACGTAACACTAATATACTGACAAGATTTAATTGAATTTTCATTCTAAATAATCTGAATTAAATTTGGTCACTGTAGCACATATTTAATCTTTCGCGTAAGAAAGAAGAAAGAAAATGAATCCGGAAAGCGCACGAAAAGCGCCTGAAAAAGGAGCCTAATTAATTTTTTCAAGTTAAACAAATGGAAAAGTTTTTGTATTTTTATTTAAAAATTTACGTAAAAATGTTAATAAACTTTAATAGATTTATTAACAGAAAAATATTAATAAATTTATTTAACGTAGAAATACAAAAATTTTTTAATAAATATACACATCAAAATAGTAATTATAAAAAATGTAATCAACATAGCTAATTATATGATATAATATATATGTATAATATATACGCAATTTATACATTTTTATTGAATTTCGAAAAAAATTGACGTAAAAAAATGCAAGAAAGATCTCAATCGATTCCAAGCGTAAGAAAATTGAACAAAACGCGATAATGAAATCGCGTGTATAATTACACGAACGTTTCGCGAGATACTTAGTTCTGATAATACTTCGTTACACGAAATCGATTGAACGCCATTTAATGTGGAGATATTTAGGCAACACCGATAGTGAATGTATAACGGATGTGTATAACAATACATTATGACTTAGAAATTGTTTATTAACAGGCAAAACAATATCATCGATCATACAAATAATGCATCTTACAACTATCTTACGAGGGCACGCTGAGATTTCACTCTTGCTCGAACATTACGATCATGCGATAGACATTGTATTCTCTCTTTCTTTCTTTCTTATACACTTCATACAGAAACAATTGTCCTATATGCAATACGGTCAATGGTATACGCATGCATACACGCATTAGATAGTATCGTATAAGACTCGGAACACATTTACGCTTCGGATTTCTCGACGAATGTAATCGCGTATAAATATTACCAGGTATTGTGTTAAAAATTCTGACGTAACAGATGAGATACGAGAAAGGAGAGATTGTGTAAATCAAATCTCTTTATACATGACGATCAGATTTATAACTGTAATTGTAGGAAACAAAAATAACGATATTAAGATAAGCTACATGATCGCTTTATAATATATGTAAAAAATCTTGGTACGTAATTATTGACACTGGTCAGAGAGATGCAAAGTTTCACAGTCGATATAAATCGAGTTGCTCTTAGCAACTCACTTTAAAAACAACATACACATTTTATCAAAAAGAAAGGAATCCTCTGTTCTTTGCCGTTCGTTTGCCGACAATAGATCGTACAAACGTATGAGATTTTTTTTATAAAAAATAAATTGCTATATGTCGTATTTTGTCTCTACGGATGTGCAAATCATGTATAATTAACAAATAATCTCTATATTTTTTTAAATTAAATAACAAGTAAATCAAAACGTCAATCGATCCTATTATATGAAGAGTATGAAGAGGGGATAAATTGCGGAGAAGGAAAAACGGATTCGTCGAGGTCTTAGAAGACTCACGTTGCAACGCACTACGAAAATAATATGTATCTATGTCGAATGTTGGAAAATCCCCGATTGCAATTCACTTCTTCTCTAATATACCGCATATAAATTAATTACGAAAACCCCACTGCACAGTATCGATTTCATTACAGTTCATCCTTAACTATCGTATATCTATTTTTGCTTGGCGCCAGTTTTTTAAACGCGGACTCTGGCGGCGTTGTGGGCGTTTTCACCTGTTTTCCAGTAACTGGTATTTCATTGCTAGTGACGTCAGGCCCGTAGTGAAACTCGCGATGAAGCTTTCCGGAGTACAAATCCTGCAGGAAAGCCTTAAGCTTTCCTTCCACAAAAATGTCATTGTAATCTTTGAATAGGTACATGTGTCTAAAGCTGTCTATTGCAATCAGTGGCAAATCTGAGGTGCTTTTCCCTAAATGGTGCAGCGGATGCGCGAATTTCAGGCCGTCAGCGGTTAAGAAATTGATATTTTCTGAAAGAAAAGAAATCAATATAATCTTAAGCTTTATGAAAAAGTGATAAACAACATAAGTAAAAACACTATGACATACGTTTTTCACTTAGTAATGACTTAGTTACGATATATTTGTACTGCTTTACGCTTTGCAAGTCATCAGGAGCATGAAACAATATAAGGAACGGCAAGCCTTCCTCCGTTAGTTCTTCAGCATTTTCGAATGTTATTTCTCTTACAAACGGCACGCACTTCTCTTGCGCCCATACATTTAATTCGTCGTAAACTGACAAACTACCCTTATAAGTTTCATCCATTTCAACAGATAGGGCCTTATCCGAACGGAAGGCAATGATAGGCTCACCTGGAGGATGCATTGCTTTACTTGCATTCCTAAACATATTTTAAAATATATCATTATTTAGCGGTAAATTTATTTTATCCAACATATTTCGTTAATTACATAACGGTGAAAACATTTAAACATATAACTGACAAAAAAGAATTATTCTTATAACTATTCAGTTTACATACGAAATAAAGCACTTCAATAAACTAACAGATATTCTTAAAATTAGAATTAGTTGATTGAAAATAAGATGAAAAGTAGATGATTTAAAAAAAATGTCACAAAATTGCCGTTTTATCATTATATAGCGTGAGAAATTTGTCTACCAAAAATTTGTGTCTATCTCAATGTACTTAACGTAAAAAAGATATAATAAGGTTGTGTAGAAAATAAAGAAATGATAAATTAGATAACAAAAATATAATCCATTGTACCCGGATGAAAATCTATGAGCTTACGTATACCGCTTTACTTACAGCAAATGTAAATGCTGTCCAATTTCGCAGTTTTGATTGGAGCATGTGCTTGTTAAATGAAATATAATAATTATTATGCATATTATATGCAGCATTTTTATGTCAATAAAAAGAAATTACTTTTGCATCTACATAAGCCTTTTCAGGAAATATTTAATATTGTAATACTATAAAGAGAAATATGTGTTACAATAATTCTACCGTATCACAAATAAAAAGTATCATACCCGAAACCAACGTAGAACTGGCAATCATCCTTCAAATTAGTGGCAACTTTTCTAAACAATTCGTATTCTGGTACATCTTTCCTTTCAAAGTATCCTATAATCATACGTTTTTTATCGTCGAGTTGCTCAAGTTCTCTCAAATCGGCAAATTCTTTAATGGGATCTTCCAACTGCTTTCTGACAAATTCTTGGAATGCTTCTACTGATCGCTGCCCTCTGTATTCTCTCTTGGTTGGTTGCCCGTTTCTTATTACTTTCAATGTTGGATATTTGGTAATATGAAACCTAGATGCTATAGAGGCTAAAAAAAATTAAATTTTGTGTAATATTTTTGAAGCTTCCACGAATATTTTCTTCAGAAAAAGCTATGTGGTTTGCGGATTATCTATGTGTCTTAAAATATCGTTAAATACTTTTTAATAATAAAGGCATTTAACAATGTTTCAAAACACGGGGATAACCTGCAAACTATGTAGCTTGTGTAATAATCTAAATTAATATAAAGTCTAATACAGATTAATACTCAAATTCTGCTTACTCGTATAATCAGAAATTATATATTATGCTCTATTTGTAATTTGAGTATTATATGTATACAATTATATAACTGCATTTCCATGCATCTTATAGTCACATTTAAAATATATTTACTTTCACGGTCACAATCCACTTTGGCCATTACTACTTTTCCAGGCTGTGGAAACTCTTCTCTAATCTTATCTGCAGCTTCATCAAATATTGGAGCTAATAAGTTGCTAAAACGACACCATTGTGCGTAAAAGTTGATAAACACCAGTTCATTCTCAGCTGCAAAAACAAATTTATAATTTAAAAAATAGAGACTACGATTGAGTATATGTTTACTAGCATGGATATTTGCTGTTCATCATATATATAATCATTGTAATATATAAAGTTTTACCTAACGTTGTATCAATATTCTTATTTGTTAGCGAAAGAGCACCTTCCTTCACTTCCTGTGCTATACTGTTCGGCAAACGTATCTAGAAGTACACAGTTTATTAGTTGTGCATATTCTGTTCTATTAGAATCCAATTTACATCAAGCGAGTCGATTTTTTTTTGCAGTTTTTATGCACTTTGTATTTTAGAACAGAAATACCTAAACTTCGCTCGACACGTATACGATTTAAGTATTTTATACCGATATACAATCTTTATTTTAAATTTTAAATCCTCTACCCATCTATTATTGATCCTCAGGCCATTAAATACAGATTAGATAACATATGACAAATATAGCAGTATAATCACGTAAATAAAACTACTGGTTGCATTTGCGGAATATCGTTCCGAAATAACGAAAAAGTATGCAAAGATTTCCCAAATTCGCATTTCGCAGCGGATCATACGAGTTATAATTTTTTTTTTCATCAGCCCATGTCCCTCGAATAGATTTTTTTCTCAAACACAAGGTTATTGTAATACGGCGGTATAGGTTATGTTGCTTAAACACAATTGCACAGAAGCGGCTTGCCGACTTGTGCGGCATTTAAATAATCAACAATTGTGAGTTAAAAGAACAAGTGGAAACTCGCGAGCCGTGGGCGAGTGCCGTTAACAGGGAATTACCGAACACTGGACACCTCGCGAGACGTCAAATGACGTGGCAGCGCGATTCCGCGATCACTTACCAGCAAACACGCGAGTGTAAGTACTTTGAGGTGAAGTATATCACAGCGGGCCAGCATTTTGTGATACTCGCGACGACTAACTCGACGGTGCGACGAGTTTTTGAAACACCATCAGTGAAAACAGCCGCCTGTGCGTCAATTGCCTACGAGCTAGCGGCGGCACATCGTCGAATCGAGCGTGGAGCATCCTCGAGACAGTCGAGACATCGATTATCGCCGCGTCCGCCGCCGCCGCCCGCGCCTAGCTCCTCGGTGGTGTTTTTCGAAATTCCAATAGGTGGAACCTTATGGCTATATGCGCGAGCGCGAGTGTACGCGCGCGCCATGACCGCGCGCGTTTCTCTGCGCTCTCCTCGGCTGCATTCGGTTTTGCGCTCGCAGCATCCTTGTTGTTCGTCAAATGTTGAACAAGGACAAATGTTGCTCACAGGCGCCGTAAGCGCCAAACCAAAGCGCAGCCGGCCCTCGTTAGAAGACTTTTAATTTTGCCACCTGCAATCATAGTTATTTTATTTACTTCGTTTTCTCCCAATAATATATATACATGTATTTGCATATACATATTATAATGCAATTATAATAACAATTCAATAAACTTGCGTACTTTCTGTGTATTTCGAGTATTGAGCGTTCGTATTAAATTCGAACTCGCATTTTAAACATATATAGATAATAATATATAAATAATATATAATAATAATATATAATAATATATAAATAATAATTTATTTTATAAAAAATAATTATTTCAAGACATATACATTTTATAAGATATAAATAATATAAATATATTTGAATGTATAAACAATCAAATATACCTTCCAATAAAATAAACAACTTATTCGAAGAAAATTAATAATAATATATAATAAAAATAATTAATGGTCACCCGAGAAAAAAAGTTCCATATATAATTATATATAATTATATATGTAACTTTCTTTCTCGGGCATATAAAATAAACTAAAATAGTAATCATAATAGTATATATGTACTTGTATGTATGTATATATTTACTTGTTTAATATTTCCTTGTGCATAGTCCTTAAATGAATATCTAACATTAAAAAGCTAAGCATAACTCTTTGAACTTGATGCATGTGTGCATACAATGTGAATAGAAAAGAAGAAAGAGTCCCACAATAAGGAATGTTTTAGTTATATATAATATAATAGTTTCTGTACGAATGTGTAATGTTGTCCTTCAGTTCCGAAGATGATTGATGATCCTTAAAAAATTTTTATGAATTTCATATAAATATTATAACTGCCTTAACAATGAATCATCCTCTGTACGGAAAATGTTTGGATGGTTTTTTTTCAAATGAGATTTTACGAGGCTCAAATCCTGATAATATGATATTGTAGAAGGGTAATATTTGCATACAGCTTTATATTCATTCTGTGCTATCTCAAAATGGTTTCGTAAATTTTTTGGTAAGCATAAGTAATCTTCGTCAATTATATTACGATTTAATAAGTGTTTTCGCAATACACAAATACGTGTCCTTTCCTCAAAAGTATAGCTACAGTAGCGGCATTTTTGGAAATCTACTTTAGTATTAAAATTTCTCATTAGAATGCAATACCTCTACAAACGAGAAAATCTTCCAGATTTGGATTGTTTGATCATTCTATATTGAAAATATATTTTATAAAGAATAATTATTTTGATATATAAATTTTATAAGATATATTTGAATGTGTAAGCAATCAAATATATCTTTCAATAAAATGAACAACTTATTCGAAGAAAATTAATAACAATATAAAATAGTATGTATAAATAATAATATATAATGAAATATATAATGAAATGTGCTGCCAGTGCTATACGGCATTTCGCGGCGCAAATTGAAGCACGGTCTCTGGAAGGCGCCAAATGGAGGTAACGAAACTGGAGGTGTTATAGTTGTAGAGAAGTGGGAATATAAGAAAAATGTAACCCTAAGGGGATTATACTTCCATACATGTATGCCCATCTCTAATATGACGTGTATTGTTACTTACTCGTATTGAGTTGTTATATAAAATACTGTATATGTGTGTGCACATATGCGATGAAATTAATAGTGCATAATGTACATTTTAGAACTTATACCTATTTGCAAGTATATCTGAGAAGGAGTTATAGCAGACTTACATTTGCGTTATGCTAGTTGATGCCATCGTGCTGCTAAGTCTGCTATAACTCCTTCTCAGATATACTTGCAAATAGGTATAAGTTCTGAAATGTACATTATGCACTATTAATTTCATCGCATATATATCATATATGTGCACACACATATACAGTATTTTATATATATAATAAAATATTGCATATCTTTTGTGTCTCCTCTCTTAATTAAAGCTATTAATTAGAATTTTGCGTTAATTTTTTATAGCTTATATCCAAAGATAAAGTTAACGGATAATTTTGTTTTAAAAACAACAAATTTCATTGAATGTAAAATTTGCGCGACTTCCTTTGACGAATTCATAAAATATTCGACAAAAGTTTGGATATCCAATGATATGATTATAAATCATCTCAGCATATTTGCAAAATTAAGCTTAGAAAGAAATTATTCAATAATTCAGAATAATATTTGATCTGTATTCTATTTAAAACATTTAAAAATATAATTGTGCACATAGAAATCAGGGTTAATCTATATATAGGAAAAAATTTCAGAATGTGTAATGTATGCAATATATGCATACCGATCGCCGAAATCAGATCGTCTCATCAATATATTTTATATTATTGCTAACATTATCAACATTTACTCACAAAAATATGAAATAAATGAGAAATGAATAACACAGACAGAAAATTAATAGCTAGGATATGTACATCTTTCTTGCACGTGCTAACAATTTTTTGAAAAATTAAATACAAATAAGAAGTTAATATTTTATTAATGTAGCTGATAATAATATAATCATGCAATTTCGTTCTAAATTTTTCTTTTAAAAAAAGACGGTTTACTGTAGAATACCTATTTCAGATTTATTGCACATATTATATATACGCATTTGTGATTTTTATAAAGATCAAATCGATATATATAAAGTCTATAAAGTTTTTTAATCAATCACTACCAAGTAAAATTAATAATTGACAATATTAAAAAAAAAATAAAATAAGTAAGGCGAATACAAGTGTTAATCAGAAAAATGTATTATTTAAATCAGTTTCATTTGGATGCTTTTACCTTTTTATTATTGTTATTTATTAATTATTATAAACTTGATTCTTCTTTCTATAAATTATTAAAATTAAATTAAGGACTTTATTTACTAATCATATATTTTTAATTATTTCGATTTATAAAATTGATAGGAGATACGATTAGAAAATCCTTTTCCACAGATATGATTTAGGCGATTCGGTTTTCTAAACGATTTGCAGCATGTTACAAAATGTAATTTCCAATATTTATTAAGTATAAATCTGTTCCAAATAAAAATATATGAATAGCTTAAGCGACATTCAGAAAATCTTTCCTACATGCTTATAAAAATGCACTATTATTTTTAAATTATATATAATGTAGAAATATTGCAACATGAAATATTAATATACACTAAGCATTGCAAAATTTTAAATAAATAGTGAAACGGCCTCTAGAATGATAAATCTTTCAGAAGTTATGTCAAGTATTTGAAAAGAATCGAGTGGCGCTTAATAAACATATTTAAGATTAACTTTTAGCTGGAGAATTAATTTTTAGCTTGAAGATTAGATGTTTTAAGATAAGAAACGAAAAAAAATCAAGCCTTAACAATTATCGATCGACAAACGAGTTATAATCTCGACAATATTCCTTTTTTTTGTTTTTATTCCATATAACGAAATCGAAAATCGTGAGTATTTCAATTCGATAAGTTTCTTTTTACGTGACAAGATTTAAACAATAGATAACAGGGATTTTTATCAATTTTGTACGATCTGTGGTAATAAATTCGACATCACCGCTCACCAAGGATAGAAGTTCAAACTACTTTGTCCTTCGCTTCATCAATATATAATTAATACGAGTATACATATTATAATTTTCGTCAAAAATGATGTTTCTAGAAATCGTAATGCGATTAGTCTGTGTATTTGCAGTTGTCCGAGCCTTTTTCGTAATCAACAAGAATCTTCCTTTGCAATTTAGTTATTTTTAAATTGTTTACATAAGACATCTGAAACGTGCACATAAGTTATTTACAATCAAATATTCCAATATGAGATAAATTTGGTTTCTTTTTCATGTAAATTTCAAACGGGACTTTTTCGAATTCATGAGTACCGTTCTATTCAATGTATTTATAAACTACTGCGTTAATAGTTTCGCTTTAAAGATTCTTTGGCAAATTTCGTGTTAATATATATAGAGCATGCAATTTTTATTGTACGCATTTCACACTCTGCGCGGCCGATCTGTTCCGATAATTCGACGTTTAATTGTAAGATGCTGAAGTTAATAGTTTTATGTGCATAATTATTTTAATAAACTGCAAAACATTTGAATTAACGAATTCATTGTATGCTCTTAAAATCTTTACATCCTTTTTAAATTAATTTTTAATTAAAGTTAAGAAATTCTTTCTGGCAGTTAAAAACATCACTTTTATGTTTTAAATAGTACATCAATTTAAACATCCGTCTTTAAACAATGAGAAAAATCCTGCTCCGTCGATTGATGCTGCTTGCATAATTGGACCACATAAGTCTGCACATATAATCTCAGGAGCGACATCACGCTTTGCCTTTATTGATAGGAAAAGGAATCTCGCTTGTTCTTAATAGACAGTCTTCGCAAAAAAAATTTTAGTGCACATGGTCGCTCGTATACATGGTGCATCAAGTTCTATGCCAAAATGAATATTACATCCGTGTCATTATTATCAATGAGTAATTGCAAGAGATGGAGAACAGCGTATCTGCGAAGATACTTTTAACGTTTTCATTTAAAATTCGTAACTTTTTGAAATAAACACAATCGGCGAAATACATGTATTCAGATCATGTGGTATGCCTCACGCAGTCGGTGGAAAAAATAAAATTACAAAAAGAATGAAAATAATGTTAAAAAACATTAACAATCTGTTTGAGTAACAAGAAACATATTTAATCCAAGATTCTTATTTATTTGGAAGGGTAATAAAGTAATTATAAATCTAAATTTGCCCTTTTGAAAATTTTATATACATATTTATAATCGATTTAAATTGTATGTTATTTTAAAAAATTTAACTTTTGCTTATGAATTTTTATTTTACAATAATATTGCTATCGAAATATACAATTATGGTTTTGTACGAGGTTTTGTATGTATACGTATATGACATTACAAGTCGCTAAAATGTATCATACGTTACATATATTCGTCACAAGCGAAACACAATAATTCGTTAATTTGAGTATTTTATTTAACTTTTTATGTTATATAGAAGTGGCTAATATAATGTAATCACACTTGGAAATTATTTAATAACATCAGATAAACTATATGTGTCTTCAAGATTCGTTCTTGTTGGAAAATAATATTAGATTATATAATGTTACAATAATTATTAATAAAATGTTATACTATTCTTTTATTGAAATTTTCAATTATTGCTTTTTTAAATATTTTTTATAGATATGTAATGGTGAAGAAAATGTACTTTTACATATCAAATTTGCCTTCTATTTTCTATAAATTCAATAACTTTTCAAGCAGTCGCCTGATTAAATGTTATTAAATAATAGCGAACAGTTTTTAAAACCAAAATGGGAAACAGCATTTTTTTTCAATATTTCTAGCAATTAGAAAATGTTTAATTTTTTAGAAGAATATTTAAAAGGAGATATCATTACACTGATGATTACTCATACATTATATGACAAAATAAATTAAAAACAAATATAGCAATCTGTAATTATTATTTTTTATAATAAAACAAATAGAGTATTTCCCAAGGTTTACATTATTAAAATGTCATCACATGTAATATATAATATATAATTACAAGTGTCTGTATATCTAATATAGTTTCCAATTATATATAATTATTTATGATTATTCTTTTTCATATATGTAATAATTTTCTGAAATATTGATTATCCTTATATATAGTTATTGTTTAATTCATAAAAAATTAAAAAGATATTCCAATTATAAAATTTCGTTAAATGTAATACAGCCTAAGAATACTAATTACTCGATCGTGTCAGTAGTGTTTCATGATTGCTTCATATAATTGGTCGAATCCACGAAATGGACATTCATGATTGCGGATTCCTTTTAACAATGTATGTATAATAAACACAAACTTCTATATATACTAACATATATAAAAATCTAATTATCTGTAATAATAAATTAAGAATAGTACATTTGATTTTTTTATTTAATTTGATTTATTACTTATCTTTTAATATTTTTGGCTTTTATTTTTTTGCAAAAAATTTTATAATTTATATTGACATTTATATGACATAATTTACTTTGATTTGAATGCAATCTGGGGAAAATTTGTCATAATTAAGCGATTTGTTTCTCATTAAATAATCTTCTAATTTAAATCTATATAAAATTCGATAGGGTCTTCTCGACCCTTAAAATAATTTAAGCATTTTTACTTTAATAATTAAATTCTACGAATTAATTAATTATAAAGAATGAGATATACTTCGTCTAAATTTCTGCATTATCGATAATTGAGCGATTGTATCGACTCCGACTATTAACTGTCGATAATGTATAATTGCGAATAGTATAGTTGTATCCTGCAAGATGGCGTTGTAAAAAAGCACGACCGGTGACCTCGCTCCGGTGTGTCACATTATTCCGCACCAATCGTACTTGTTCTCTGCGAATTATCGGCACCAATACTTGCGCGTCCATGACGTTCACGTCATACGGTACATGATCAACAAGCACAAAAAAAAAAAGAAGAGGAAATAATAAAAAACCGGCCGCGACGTAAAGAGATTTGTAAGATCGTGCTCTTCTCTTTTGTTAAGTTTCCCTTTTTTTTTTCATTAAACAATCCGATCCGATTCTAATAAACGACTCTCAATGATCAAGTAGACATTAAGTAGTTCCGAACGAAACTGCGTGTACAATGATGATATTTTTTTTACAGGACTTATTACGATGATTTGCTGAAAAGTGAAGAACCCGAGCGTCGAGAATGGAGCACACGGGACAAGTGCTCTCCGCGATTCTTATCCTGTCGGTGCTGCATTGCACAACGTCAACGTATTTCGGTGATGTGTCCGCGCGGCAGGTCGACGAGCCCTCCAAAATCGGTTGGCTCTTCTCCGCCAGCCCCGTTGTTCGGGCCAAAAGGATCGCTGACATCGCTGTATTCGAGCACAAGAGAGAATCCGAGGACGATGGTTCACCCAGGATCATTAACGGCCAGTGCCGCGATAAGTTGAATCGCCTTTGCGGTGATATAATTAGGAATAATGATAAAAAGGATGAGCTTATGCTGCTCGAGTGCATTCAGACTTTCAAGGTATGTATAACGTACTGTATTGTGCAGTGAAAGCAGGAAGTAATCTAATTGTCTCGTTAATACGTATTACTTTGCAGCCCACCGAGATATCCGGGATCAATCAGAAGTGTCAGGAGGCGATTTGGTCCTACATCCAGAACATCACAGATAATCAAAACATAGAAAGGCTAGCCAGAAAGGCGTGCGGCACGGAATTGGAAAGCTTGCAGTGCTCCAGCTCCGACAAGATCCACGGGGCTTATCTGTCCTGCCTGATCGACAAGCGAGAGACGGTCCGGGATCCCGACTGCATCACTTACATTCAGAGATTGGAGCGGATTGCCTTCAGCGACTTCAGACTTCTCACGCCCTTCAAGACGGACTGCTCTGGCGATATCAAAAAGTTCAGCTGCGACAGTCAGCAGCCGTACAGAGATATATCGCAAGGTCAGATATTAGCCTGCCTGCAAGAACACGTCGAGCAACTGCAGCACGAGTGTAGGAGGCTTATTCTCCATGTGTCCGAGATCCAAGCTGAGAATATCAAACTGGATCGTCAGTTGTACATGGCGTGTAATAACGATCGCATTAACTTCTGTCCTACCATTCGATCGGGCAGCGGTCAAGTCTACAAATGCTTAATGAAATATAAAACCGACAGGTAAGATGTTTATACGTTACGATTTGAATTAATTAACTTAACAATTTGAATTTATAACAAGCTAAATGTTGTAATATATTAATACTTGGCATAGGGCACTACCGTCTCTCTTGATTCAAGAGATTTATTAATCTAGGTTTCCTTTTTTTTTTTTACATTGGAATGCTTTTGTATTGACAGATCGATGAGTGCACAGTGTCAGGAGCAATTAACGAGGAGAGAGAAGCTCATTGCTTCTGACTATAAGATTAGCAAGGGTCTAGTTAAAGCGTGTAAGGAGGACATCAGGAATAATCACTGCAGGCGGTCCGTGTCCGAGGACAAGGAGATCAAGCTGGCGCAGATCTTGCTTTGTCTGGAGTCGGCAATGAAAAACGGCAGCAAAATCGACGGCAATTGTCAGGCGGAAATGTTTGATCACAGGAAACTACTAATGGAAGATTACAGATTGTCGCCAGAGATTGTGCACAAATGTGCCAACGACATTACGATTTTTTGCAACAGTCTCGAGGTCGGCGGCGCCACGATACACTGTTTAATGGAGCATACGAGAACGAGGAAGAGGAAATCGAGAGTCACGCCGGAATGCCAAAGAGCGGTAAATAATTGATAGAAGAATTAAGAATGTCAGGATTGATTTTTCCAGAATCAAGTAACATATTTATTTACAAGATCCTTAAAATGGCATTCTAATGTTTCTAAGAATGAGCGCGTTCAGCAGATCCGATTAGTGAGCGCTCATTGATTTCTTGTTACGATTGGTTTATTCACTTTAGCAAAAAGCTATAGGCAAAAGTTATGTTAAAGAATCATTGAGCTCACTGATTTTCTTTGTCTGCTGAACGCGCCCAATATTATATTGTTAAGATGTTTTATTATTTTTTTTATAAAATGTTATTTATTATATAATTTCAGTTGGAGGAGCTAATTATGGAAGCTGATGCCGGCGAAGATTGGAGAATTGATCCGGTTTTAAGAGAACAGTGTCAACCTGTGGTCAATTTAGCTTGTAGAGATGTAAGTTATTTTTACAAACAGTTGTAGAATTTAACAAAACATCTATATATATATATATATTTCCTATAACTCTTAATTAATATTTTGAGGAATGAAAAAGAAAGAAATTTTGAACTAAAAAGTTCTTTTCAATTTTAGCTCAGACTAAAACTATTCATTTATCATTATTTATTATTTATTTAATTATTTATTAATATGAAAAATTAGAATAAAATTTTGATCGGAAGAATGTACGGTAAATGCGAGGAGCCCCATGGCACGCTACGCTTTTGGGTATTCTTACTGGGCGCAATCAATTGATTGATCAGTTTTATTTGGTAATAACTCTGTAAATAAAAAAAAATGGTCTGAGGCAAAATTGGGAAAAGAACTTTTAGTTTAAAATTTCATTCTCTTTCACTCCTCGAAATATTAATTATGAGTTATGGGACACTCTGTATATGTAACTGAAAGCCACATATAAGAAATTTTAGTCTTTATATGCAAGTTTAAAATTTTTTTTTATACTTTGCAGTTCATGTATTCATTAGATGTATTTACCATTCTTGTTTGATACTTAATTTAGGTGCACGGCGGAGATGCTAGAGTGATATCTTGCTTAATGGAACAACTGGGAACGGAGAGGATGACCGAGGCCTGTGAGACGGCTTTAGTGCAAATACAGTATTTTATTGCTAGAGATTTCAAACTTGATCCACAATTGTACAGAGCGTGTAAGTTTGATGCCGTACGTTTGTGTCATGCAAGAAACGCATGGACCGGCAATGGCAAACAAATGGATCCTGAAACTGGGCCTCTGGTACTGCCATGTTTATATCGGCATGTGTACCAGAAAAATATGACAGTAAGATTATTAATATTATTAAATAAATAATTAATTCTCAATTTCGCTTAATTAAAGTCAAAGCTTAATAATTCAGTTTTTTTAATTGTAATAATTCAAGTTATTAACACTTTCTTACTATTATTTTTGCAAAAGATTTACTCTCAACTGCTTTTTTTTCTATATTCTGTTCAGTTAAGAGCGGATTGTTTGGAAGAGATTAAAAGAATCATGAGGCAACGTGCCATGAATGTCGACTTGCAACCCGAGATAGAAGAAGTGTGCTTTAATGAACTGGCATCACTTTGTTACGACAAAACTGCGAAGGGAGAAGAGATTCTATGTCTGCAGGATAATTTAGAGAAGTACTGATTATCTTAAGTACTATTATCTTAACTTATTCATTTAATCGTATTTATATTTTATACATGTAAATGGAAAAGTTTTTAATTAAATTTTCTATTTTTTAAATTTAGAATATTAACAACTTATTATATTTTATTTTTTTAGTATCTGTTCTTTATTTTCTAAATTCTTTATCTTATTATCTTATATATCTTTTTATCTAAATTATTTATCTCATTACACCCACATTGAAAAAAGCTTGGAGTTGCATTGCTTTTAATTTTTCTCGTTTGCAATTCTTGTATGCTATCAATAACAGAATGTACTATATTTTGTCAATCTTTTCAAAAGTAATTTCGAACTTTTCTTTGATATCGTTTAGTTTTTGTTAGATACAAAAATATTAAATTTTAATTTGATATTAATTGCGTTAATTGCAGCTTGAAAGAAAAATGCAAGTTTGCAGTTGGAAACTTTACTGAGGAACAAGCAGAGCGTGTTGAGTTGAATCCCATAATTTCTTCTGCGTGCCAACATATTATGGAACGTCACTGCGAGGTACGGCTTGACTTATTTATATCCAATTTACTTACTTATCTATTTTACTTCCAATTTACATTATCGTCAATGATGCTTGCGCGTTTTAGGAGGTATTAAAATATGGAAAAGACGAAGGCGATATGATGGAATGTCTGATCGAGCATAAAAACGAGCTGGACGCGCGCACCGATTACAAATGTAAAGCAGCCGTGGAACATTTCCAACTGATATCTTTGAAGAATTATCATTTTACGTACAAATTTAAGGAGGCATGCAGGCCTTACGTTAAGAGATGGTGCACTAAGTAATATTCAGTTTTTTAATTCACACAGAATTCACATATTTTGAACATTAAGAATAAATTGTATAATACATATATTGTCATGTAGATCAAAGACGAAAGCCAGTGTGATAGACTGCTTAAGCTCAATCGTGCAGGAAGATATAATGAAAGACTCGCAGCATCGTGTGATGAAGGATTGCAGGCAACAGCTGCGGGCGCAACTTTATCAGCAGCGAGAGAATATCAATTTTGATCCTTTCTTGCAAGCAGCCTGTGCACCAGACATTAAACAGTTTTGTTTTAATGTGGAACCCGGCAATTCACAGGTAGCGACAATATCTAAGGCAGTGCTTTTTTTTATCGTATTTATATTGTATACATGTAAATAGAAAAAAGTTTTTAATTAAATTTTACATTTAGAATATTAACAACTTATTATGTTTTAGTATCTGTTCTTTGTTTGCTAAATTCTTTATTGGCTCTTCGAGTAGATGTCTGCTCTAAATTCTAATGTTACGATAAACCTTACTGAAACTTAGGTTGTTTTAGGTATTAGAGTGCCTGGCATCGCACAAGTCTAAACTATTGGACATGTGTCATAAACAGCTGTTTAAGGTGAGGAAACAGGAGTTTCAAGATAGCTCCAGTGATGTTCCTTTACTGAGCATCTGCCGGGCTATGATCAAGCAGTATTGCCATGACGTGAGCAAATCACAAACTTTGGATTGCCTTAAGAAATACAAAGACGAGCTCACTTTCGACGATAAGTGCAAAAACATTGTGGTTCGAAGAATGATTGAACAAAATACGGATTATAGATTTAACACGGCACTGCAAAATGCGTGTGGCATTGACATCGACAGACATTGCAAAGAGGTAAAAAAAAATCTATACATAGTTATAATTTAATATAGCTCAATAATTAATTAATTTATGAGTTTATATTACTTTAGGTTTTGATACACGAGCGCACTGACAAAGAACTTGAAGGAAAGGTGATTAGATGTTTGAAGATCAGATTTCGGGAATCGAAGCTGATGACTAAATGCGAGCACCAAATGGCTAATATTCTCAGAGAAGCTGCATTAAATTATCATTTAAATCCGTTATTAGCAACGATGTGCGCGCACGAGGTAAAGAAATTATAAAATTATAATTTACAAGTATCTCCAGAAAATTTAAGAACTTTTGCATATTGAATATTTTTAATCTAATTTTTACGTAAGATTTTATAGTTATTGTAGAATTCAATTTCAAATAAGTTCACGAAATTCTTCTTCTGTTTCTGTTAGATTGAAACTATATGCCGATCGGATGAAAACGAACCTGGTGCTGTTGAAGAGTGTCTTAAAAGGAAATTCAATGCTGGAAATAGAGATATGAGGGAAGAATGTCGTTTGGAGGTCGCAGATCTGATAGAACAAACCAAAGCTGATATCAATGTGGATCCTCTGTTGCAGAAAGCCTGTGCCGTGGATATCAGCAAATATTGCAGTGCTATACCTCAAGGCGCGGGAAGACGTGCGTAATATTTTTTTTTTATTAGTAACCACAGATTAAAAAACACGAAGTAATTCGGTCAACAATAAATCGGATCTTTCCAAATTAATCTATTCAAAGAATTAACCAAAATTTATTAATTTTATATGTGTATATGTGTTAAATATGTGATAGCAAATTATTAATTTAAGTAACAATTATACCACAGATATAATGTGCTTGCAAAATGCACTGGAAGACAGCAACAAACCATTGCAACCTGATTGCTACAAAATGCTGACTACGAGGATGGAAATGTTTAAAAATGCTGCCAAGGTCTGCGAAAAATGTCTTTTTATCTATACATCTATATTATTTTTTTTCATTACGTGTCTCGAAACAATCGCATTTTGCTTATCACGTTACAGTTGATCGCGCCAAACACATTCGAGGAGTTATACTCGACGGTGAATCGTTCCCCAGCGCGGCGTTACTTCATGATCGCCGGTTTTACCATGATCGGGATGATCTTCATGATCGGTATGTTCTTCGGCCGCGTGACCAGGCGAACGATGATAATGAAGAACAAGTGACGACACAGCCGGGGCCCGTCCACTAGTGAAATGACTTTCGTGAAATTAGTCGAAGGATTGTAATAGATACTATAACACAAATGTGTGTTGACCTGAACGACGACACGGAGTGTAAGTTCACGAGAATAAGAGAAGAAACATCGTCTTTTTTATACCTTCGTTTACGAAGCTTTTAAAATGCGGATCTTTGTATTTAATAATATCGGGGGAAGGCTACGAGATTTTTTGACGTGGCTGTTAAATACACGCGCATAATGCAAAAAAAAACGGAGATTGTAAGCGTCTAAGAATATATGAATATTCGAGGATTTAACAACGTAAGGAGATTTAAATATCTAGAAATACTATACGTTACTGTAACATTATGATTCCAAAAATACAGGGTGTTCTATAGGATTTGTAACGAGCTTCGAGAGCTCTTTATACTCGCCAGGAAGAAATGTTTTTAAGTTCGTTACAAGAAGTAACGAAAGAAAAACTATGTTATTTGATATTATGACTTTATATTCTGCAGATCCGGATTACCGCGAGAGAAGAGGAGATATTAATTCCGAGTAGGATTGACTTTTAAGATTTTTAACAAATCTGTTTTTAAAAGCAATAATTCTCTTGTTTTTCAAAGCGAGCGACACTACTTCAATTTTATCTGCGAAAAATTTGTTTGAAAACAAGGAATAAAAAACAGTGAAATAAAATAACCAGCGAATTTATTCGCCTTCGTTCGCGGGGATTTTAACGAGAGAGATCAGCTCGAAATGCCAAAGATTCTTGGATATACATATATGCCGCCCATGAGACGAGTGTGTGTACTGTCGTTGCCTGGAATCGGCCCTGATTTAGCAACTCGTACGCGGAGAGCAGAGAGAGATCATAAGTGGTGAAAATACAAACACCTAGTTATTCGAAGTGATTCGTCTATCTCTTCGCGGTGCAATTGCAGAGAGAGAGAGAGAGAGAGAGAGAGAGAGAGAGAGAGAGAGAGAGCGGGAAGGGGAACACATGCCCGAAGGTTTGTCGCGGTGCCCGATTCTTGAATAACCGATACGAAGCGATCGTGCAACGATTATTCCTGAGGGACCCTCGAGGTCATCCCGCGGGACCAACTCCGCGTACGAGCGTGCAAGGGTGGGAAACGTGAACGAGAGGAGAAGGAGGACGTTTCTGCGACCTTCTGACGAGCTTTCTGTACCTTGCGTTTGTGATACGTAGATTCCTGTACGGAGCTTGCGAACGCAGTGTGTTTCAAATTGATTTAAATCCAAAGAGATGCGCAGGTGGGCACAAGTTAGTCCGAGTCTTCCAGCCTCTTCAAGCCTCAGTTCCTCGCCTGTGACTTTAATACGACCGACGTACACGTGTACGCGTATACCTTCGTCGTGCGCATATGACGGCTCTCATGTAAATATATATTAAAAAATTATAAGTTTTTATTTGCCACAAAATATATACATATATGTAATAATATATACATATATGTAATAATGTATGTATGTTTATATATATATATATATATATATATATATATACGTATATATACATATATACGTATGTATATACGTATATACGTATGTATGTGTGACGAGATACAAGCAGCATCAATTATTTATCACAATTCTGATTATCTTTTCTAAATACAAATGAGTAATCGTTTCTAAATGCGTAACTTCGTAGAAAATATTGACGGAAGCGTAGATTTTCGCGCAATAATTCCGCGCATTTCAATCGAGGTCGAAATGAAAGGCGCATTTTACGCTAAAATGCTAAATTCAGAAAATAAAAATGAAAAACTCATCGTCATTTATATTTTACATATATTTTTTAAATATTTTAAAAATGATATATTTTTAATTAAAAATATTACGAGACGATATCTCGAGTTAATTGCTATGTTATATTAAATTTTATAGAATTTCCAGCAAACATAGATATAACTGTTGTGTGTGTATAACATATACGTATGTAAATATAGATGTTTTACATCTATATGGCAGTTATGCTCAGTTGCTGCGTTGTTAATCGCCTACACGCCACTTTAATCGCTACTATAATCGCGGATCTAAGGCCCGATTGCACAAACATTATTTTGATCTTAATCGAGAGAGAGAGAGAGAGAGAGAGAGAGAGAGAGAGAGAGAGAGAGAGAGAAAGATATTTAAGCTTCGTTTAAGGTCAAATCAATATTGGTGCAATCGGGCCTCAATCAATAAATAATTTCACAGAAAATATATCATAAATATATTTGATATTTATATCATAAATATAAAAACGCGACAATTTTCGCGCGATAATCAAGCATCGAGATTCAAGCGAGAGGCGCGCACGCTTTACGCTAAAATGCTAAACTCAGAAAATGATAAAAGTTGAGAACTAATTATTATCAAAACAGTATCCGCTATGTTTTTATTATTTTAAAAATAATACAACATTTTTAATTAAAATTATTGCGAGAAAATATCTCGAATTAATCGCGATGTTACATTAGATTTTATGAAATAGCCAATCATTCTCGTATGCGCGTCGCGAGTCGTGTGCGCGTTATCAATTATATTTTTTTCAACGATTGGTAAACGAACTTTGCGATTGGTAAATGCGTTTTGTCGCGATGGAAAATCTCGTCTTGTTTATTTTGCGCCGCACCACGTCCGCGCAAGGCCGAATTCGAAAAATCGTCCCGCGTCGCTTGCACTTTTTAGTCCGCATCGCGAGTAAATTGTGCGGCGAAATATCGAGTTCTCCTCTCCTCCCACGTTGGAAAGGGGCTCATAATGGAGTTAATTAGCGCACGCTACCGTCGCGACCGACCGTGTTGCTCGATATTTGCAATTATCCGCGCCGGATCGTGCCGATCGCGCAGTATCGCACGTTATCACCCAATCCGCCGCAGTGACAACAAAAAAAAAGCGAGAGAAAAAGTAAATATAAAATAGGTAAATTAAAGGGGAATAATCGTGAAATTTTTTCAATCTGCGAAGACTGAGTTTTTAATCCTCTGGACGAATCATTAATTAAAAAAGTTTTTATATAAATATTTCGATGCAATTTTTTCGTATAGTAGAAAACGTTACCAGCTGATTAACTCCTTTCAACTTTTATCTTTTTTTGTCAACAGAGAGACGTTAACGATAAAAATTTTTTTTTATACTTTTATATTCTATAAGAAAGAAAAAAAGAGGTAAAGAAATTTAAGTAAAATTTGTTAATTCGAAAAAGCAAAAGTATTCGATTTCCTTCTACAATACATAATCTTTTCATATATATTGTCTTTTATGATTGATCAATGATCAAGATATCGGTACTTCAAAGTTCAAAACATACTTTTTCGCTCAGTATATCGATATCTTGACATTTAAAAAGGTCTGAACCCGCGGAATCAGAGAATGAGAACATATCAAGTTCAGCGAATTTTTTACTTACGAATATAATTTTATACTTTACGAGAATCGCGATGTGACCTTCGTCGTATTTGTCGGTTTACACGCATGCATACGTGCACGTGTGCATGTAATCATAATTAAGTCCGTTTTCGGACTGTTTTTGCGGGCGAACAGGAGCGTCGCGAGCGAGCTCGAAAATTCGCATCCTTGGCCGAAACTGGAGGGACCTCAACTTCGGTGTTCTCAACGGAAGCTGAAGAGACCTCAACTTCGACGTTCTCGACGGAAGCTGAATGGATTTCGATCTCGCGGCGTCCTTGGCGGAAGTTGGAGGAATTTCGACAAAGACAACGTTGCGCGAGGCAACCTGATGGTGAGTGGGCCCTTTACCTCGCAATTATTCGTCGCCTTTGTGATGATATACGATCACGCGACAGATCATATTATTTTGGAAGTTGAAGCAATGTTGTGCCTTTTTTCAAATGAGCTTTTAATGAGTTTTAAGCTGTCCGTCTCGAGATATGGACTTTTATGTGATCTTTTCAATCTTTTCTATATCTAACCCGGTGGTTTTTCACGCGCTTATCGCATCTCTGTGCCTCGTTTTTTTCCTCTTTTTGTTTTTCCTAGTTTCGTGTGCACACATTTGTCTTTTTTCATGATTCGCGCGATCCCGAGTGGCCGATCGCGATTCGATCAACTCGCTGTGATTTTCAGGGGTTTCCTTTTTTTCCACCTCGCTCGAAACGCGCATTTTTCGCACTCGAGGACGAAAGGGTGTTTGGTTGTAACTCGAAAATTATAAAAAATATAAAACTGCACTCTCACCGATAGTAAAGTTTCTCGCGCGTCACGTTGGAAATACCATCGATAACTTTGTGTGTCACGCGATATACGCCCAACAGTTTTAGGAAAATGAATTTATTCGTGGAATTTCTGTAAAATTAGAAGGCGCGACGTTTTAAATATATTCTTTTTAAATATATCCAGATTTCGTCTCTACGTGTGTCATAATACGTTTCAGGTGAAATGTGCATTGGCTAAGAGCGAAGAGCATCTGATGCCGCGCAATAAATTTTCGCTGAAGGATTTTCATCGTAGAATGCTGTCCCCTTCTCTCTCTCTCTCTTTCTCTCTCTCTCTCTCTCCATCTCTCTTTAGTGATTAACGCGACATTTTTTATTAGAATATACAGACTGGGGATAAAAGTAACATTTTGCATTTAAGATATAACATCTAAAATAAAATATAATATCTACGTAAAAAACGCCCGTACTTATAAATGCAGAATTTATTTGGCTACAAAATTCTATTGTGTAGAATTCTGTAATGTAACTAATTGTTAAGAAAAAAGTTTTCTGTAATGTAACTAATTGTTAAGAAAAAAGTGCGTTTTACAGACAGTATGAAGATACTGCAATATTAGAACCGTTTTAACCCCCCAGGATAATTGTAACAGTAAAGGGAAATGATTATTTCACATTATTTGTAAACAAAATAATTTATTAAATTATTTATTAAATATTTTTCATATAACACATTTTATCCAAAACACATAAAAACAAATAATTATTCTAAACTTAAAGACTATTTTAATTATAATCATATATATTTAAGAAATTATCATTATTAACTAAGAAATATTAAAATTAAATAAAAACAGAAAATAGCTTCCTTTTCTTAATAATTAATATAAAATAAAGGAACAATCATTCATAACAATCTATTTTCTTTAAGAAATTAAAAAGAAAGAACGTAAAGGCTTTAAAGATATAAATCAATATAAATGAGTATAAGGGCTAACGAGCCTGACTAGATGTCCTTATTAATTAATAAACTTTAATAAATGTACAAATTTCGACGATACATGAAAATAAACCAAACGTTTCAACCTTTAATATGATCCTTTTCAGTGATTCTTATCAAATTTATGGTTTATTTTTATGTATCGTCGAAATTTGTACATCTATTAAATTTTATTAATTGACAAGGACATCTAGTCAGGCTCGTTAGCCCTTATACTCATTTATATTGATTTGTATATATTTTCTTTGTTTTTTAACATCTAACTCCATGAGTTACCATTATAACATTACAACTGTCCTTAAACATTGATGTTATTGTGTATTGTCCCCTAATAATATTTTATAATTCGTAGTAAATTTTTAAAAAATATCTATAGATAGAAGTCAATTAAATTATGCAAATTATCAACACGGATAATTATACTTAACATATTAAAAAAAGTATATTGTAACCTTCGCCGTAAAGAAAGAAAAATATTTTAGATTTTGTGCACGCAATAAAACTTGAAGAGTGAGAGAAAAGCAACTTCTGCTTCTACGTGCACGTTTCGCAAGGATCGGCAAGAAACTAACGAACGAATACCGATAGCGTATCTCGTCTCACGGTTACAGTGGCTACACACACATATCTATTGTAGTTTCTGAAATATTCACTATGTTACAACTGTACCCTGTTACTTTTGTCCCCGATCTACTTTACTTATTATCATTTGAATTGGCATTTAATAAGTTTATCTCGAATATTGCGATTGTTTATTCCCTTTATCGCGATATAATTGCACGACAGTACCTATTATTTAGAATTGGAATTCGTTGATTCGCTTTTCCAAATAAGCTTAACAAGCTTAATATTAGCTGTTTCCAAATATAAGCTTTTATGTATATATTCGCCATATTACCTTTCGGGCCTCAAATATTTACGATACGTACGGGAATGAAACGGGATGAAACATAACAGGCGAAAAAAATCGGGTCAAATGAATAAAGATGACGTTATAATGTTCGATAGCAGATGGCGGAGACGAAAGCCGTCTGTTTCCTCAAAGTAAGAACATAGAGCAAATGCATAAGCTTGTACGTATAAATTTAACATATATATATATATATATATATATATATATATATATAGATATATAAGAGAGAGAAAAATATAAAAGCAGATTTAACATTAAGATATATAATGTTATATTAAAACTAATTGGAAGTAAATTCAGCGATTGAACGTGAATTAATATACATTACAAAATAACTGAGAACAAGTTTGTAAGTCGCATCATGTTGTATTTTTTAAAATCCGCTAGATAGAATCATATTGACCTGTAAAGAGAAAACATGAAATGAATATAATTTCTTTTAAAATAACAGCGCTATTTGTCCTTTTGAAACATTCGGAGATGTATCAACAATCGAGCCGTTTTAAGATATATTATAAAATGAAATAGAAATACGTATAAAAAAGATATATTTTCAGCGCAAACATTCCTGAAAGCTCTGACGATTTTAGTTTTATCGGAGCGGTTGCTTTCACTGATAATAAACTTTTATTTGCGCGTTTTATAAAAGTTATTTGTGCACAATAAACATATACATAACTATTTACTCATGCCACCATGGTCGCTACAGTCTTTTTATGTTTAAAAGCAAGAGCTTCAAACAGATCCCAAAAACAGACACATAATCGTAGGATATGTGTCGCATATAAATTGCACTTTTTTTACTTAAGTTTTAGTTAAGTTCGAACCGGTTTTTCTTTTGCAATAACATTGAAACGCAAATGGAGCGATTAAAAATGAAGAGTCCTGGAAAATTACACTCCGTATAAAATTACACCACGGGATAACCGGAGGTTTCTTTTTAAAACAATTTCAAGCAGATATGAAATAAACGTATAACATGTTGAGAATTGTTAAAAGTCGTGGAAAATCGGGACGTCGCGTTAAATTTTCGGAAACGCTGCAGAGTCTGGCACACCTTATATGCGCGCACACATTTTGTAACCACGTTCCTCCGCCACGGCGTGGCGGAATGGAGGCAGGAGCTCCACTTTATTCGTATACGTTCGCAGCAGGAAGCATAAAACCGGCGCGGAGATGGCGTACCGAAGATGAAGATTAAGATCTAGATTAAGCGCGGAGCGACGGGAGAGCGTCGGGATGCCGGCGCGCGAGGCTCGTTGCATCGCCCGGAGGAGAGGGGTAGATCATGCGCTCTGCATTCACACATTGGTTGGCACGAAGGGTGGCGGGTTTCCCAACCCTCGTCGGCCTCGTCGTCAGTTTGACGCCGCGTGCGAGCGCATACAGATCCGTCGCGATCGCCGACTCGCGCGCGCGAGAGGGAGAAGAATTTTTGGGGGAAACTCTGAGAAAGAAAGTTCGTCGTTCTTCCAGGGGATCGTCGTAAAATGACCGCCGGCAGGCCGAGTCTACACACTCGATCCGTCGATCCAACCTGAAACTCGATAAAAGAAAGCCGATCGAGAGGCGTGAAAGAAAGAAAAGAGAGAAAGGGAGAGAGGGAGAGGAAGCACGCTGTCAGAGAGATCTCGCTGCGCGTAATGTAAGGTGGATCGCACGCGGGGTTTTTTCTTTTTTTTTAGGAAAACACACGAGAGACGCAGTTCAATTCGTGCCATTGCGAAGGACTATGTCGATATACATAGTTCGTTAATCCGATTATCAATTTCGATCATTTATGACGGATGACCGATTATGAGCGATTCACGTATAATTGTTCGGAAGCAATTAATAACGCCGGTTTAACGCAGAATAGAATTCTATGGGATATTGTTGATTTGTCGAATTAATTGAAAAACCGTGTCTCGGTTTCGGTTTGGGAATTTCCACTCTTTGTATTTGATTAACAAGAAAAAAAAGGAATGTGTGCGGACACGATTCAGTACCTTGTAATAGAAAGAATAGGATTAATTGTCGGATATTGTTAAAAATGAATGCACTTTGGAACGATTTTTAATCCGGAGAGACAATGCGGCTTCGAATCGAATTTTAAAGACAATTTGATAAAAGAATTCATTATAAAGAAAATTAAACTGATTTTTCAGTGCTCTGAAAATAACAAAATTATCAAAAATTTTCATTTACCTAATGTTTCTTTAGCTTGAAAATTTACGTTAAAATCTTGTGATTTTTTTATCTTTTTCTTTTGCTCTTTTACGCTCTTTTCGTTTGCGAAGAAATAAGAGAAAATTTGAGAAGATTGCCGAGGACGGAATCTAATTAATTATTTGATAATACAGAGAAGTCGGACACAATTCATCTCTAATAAGATTAATTTGATCGATTAAATGCGATGGTTCCGCGTGTAAATAAAATTTTTGTGGTCTTCAGCCGATTTCGCAGATTATGATGCACGAGTGAAATTCTGTAAAACCGCAGAACGCTTATCAAAAGATCGTATTAGTTAATCAGTAATCGACCATCGAGTACACTTCAAAGCGAAATTGTTAATTTGCGTAATTACGGAACAATGTGCCGATGCGGATTTATTAATTTTCGTTAATAGAAATTGAATTTTAACGACTTTTAACGTCAATTTCACATGAGCGTTATTTCTCTAATGAAATCGTGAATATTGCGCTGTATCTCCGGATATATTTTCGCGAAAGTTGATGATTATCATAATTGAAAGCGCATTTAATTTGTGTGATTTATTGTTACGACAATTTGCATTTTGTATTCTCATATTCTCGTTCGCACTTTGCATTTAAATTTCATCGATGTTTAACGCTACCGCTACACGAAAGCGGGAGTAATTTGCGATTGAAATTGATGAAGAAGTACATACACGTGCGTTTTACGGCTCTATCCACTTAACTGTCCGTTTAATTACGCCGGGCATATGCGCGTTATGACCGCGCGTTACGTATACGCTTACGATTGTTTGGGCTAAACTAGCGAACAAGCAAGGAAATAATTGACTGAACGGGGGACAAATAAATATAGTTTAGGCTCTATAACAATTAGGTACGCAGCAATGTTTGGTACGTCAACACCATTGTTAACCGCTGGTGTGCCGAAACGGCGACATAGACGCTCACGGATGAATTTGCCGCGTGTCAATTTTCCGTTACAATACCACCGTCAATACGCCGCGAATGTCCGCGCTCCTCCTCGCCGCGACAGATTCGCCGTGCAGGAGCGCGCGTTATGAATGTGAGTGTGTCATAATCTACGACGATGTGTGTGAATCACAACGTCGAGATTGAAAAGGGCAGATCCGAGCGGGAGTAACGTCAGTGAAAATCTCGATTAATTGCGATTTGCACTCGTGTGAAATTGCTGCCGAAGAAACGGAATCGTATATATATCTATTCGTGATCAATGGAGAACTTTTTATCGCTCTGAATCGCGCGCGGACGGTTAGCGATTGCGCGATAATTATACGCGATAAAATTGTCGATCAATCATAAAGGATATGGCCGCGTTTTGAAGATCGGTTCGATAGATCAAATCAATGTGACGTCCTCGACATATATATCCTCGAGCAAAGGCTTTCGGCTTTGAACGCTCTTCATATTCGCTCCGCCGATCCGCCGATCGATCCAATGATGCATTAGCGCCGGGGATTGGCCCTTCGCAAAACTCTGACTCCACATGAGTTGTGCAAAAATCGACTGAGAGGTAACCTGCGTGGGAAATCGAATTACCGTGCGCAAAAGAGAGAGAGAGAGAGAGAGAGAGAGATAGATCGGGAGGCGTGGGAGAGACGTCTCGATTAGCAGCACACGCTCAAAAACACTTTACGCGCGGTCTAATCTCAAGAGCAACGGGAACGGATCGCCGACAGATCGATTTACCGCGAGGTATATCCACCACATTCGCCGTTGAGAGAACCGAGTGGTCGCAAGGCGAACGTGAGTTTCGCGCTGGTGAGAAAAAAAAACAAACATTGAAATAGTGCTTGATTTTGGGCGGGAAGATAAGTTGATTGCGGAGATGCCGAGGGGATGCTATTAAGTATCGAGTCTATTAAGGGATATACCATCCATTAAGGACCATAAAGTCTGGAGAGATGTAAGATTGCGCCGGCATTCCGGGGATGCTACTCAAGCACCAGGATCTATTAAATACCGCGAGGAAGAAGCTGTAAGATTGCGAAGACGTTAGAGAGCTATTCTCATTGGCAACAGGACTTAAATTAAGGACCAGAAATTCAGGGGAAATATAAGAGTCGTTAAAGTAAAAATCGAATATCTTCAATAACCTCAATATAAAATATCGTATTAGTGTCGTAATTAGAAGTGGATGTTGTATATGTAGATATGGCTGTTACGAGAAATTGATAATCCAAGTTGTAACGTTGAGGAATTATTACGTTGATCTCGAGAAGTATTCATAATATAATCATGTACGTTGTCGGGGAGAGATGGATGACGGTGATTTTACGGAGACGTTGAAATTAATCCACGCCGAAGAGGGTAGTTGTCAACATTGATCTCAAGAAACATAATATATAATTGCGCACTAATGTATCAAGCATGTCACGTTATCGCGAGCAGCTGCTGCGAGCCGCTGTTACATGCGCACGATAATCACGTCGTGGCGATGTCGGGATTGAGATCGATCAGGCACGAGGAAACGTGCCGTCGTGAGTGGATGTAACAAGCGGACGGTTTGTCGCGAACGGGGAAGATGAGCGGCTGAAGATGAGTGCGTCAGGCATCTGGTGCGCGCTCATCCTGCTCACGTTCACGCAAGATTCCCTCGCCAGCCACCACGAGAAGGTCCTGCAAATCGAGAAGCCGAAGGAGTACCTGCTGCGACATCAGCAAAACCACCGCACGACCGCCTTCGTCGACCGCAAGCTCGTCGATCCGACGGAATTCCGCGCCGCCGAGGCCCGCCCGATGATTATTCATCCGCTCACGGAAATCGCTCGCGCGGCCGGCGCGGGGGCGGTGCCGGCGGCGGCGGCGGCGGCGGCGGCGGCGGCGGCGACGGCGGCGGCAACGGAGACGTTGAATCGTCCTCCCTCGGAAAATCATCGCGCGGAAATCTGCTCGATAATCACGCGAGATCGTGGCTCCGTGAACCGTTTCCGGCCGACGGAGATCCATTCCGCGTACGAAAATCGTCTACATACGGAAGATCGTCCGGCGGAAATGCGCTCGACTCTGAAGAATCACGCCGGAATCGTGGGAATGCGCCCGACGGGGGAGAACCGTCGCGCCGTGGCGATACGCTCGGCGGAAATTCCTCCGACGTCGGCACGTCACTCCGCGGAAATCGCCCACGAACCACCCAAGAAAGTTGTTCGCGCCTCCCCGGCTGAACTTCGCGCGGAAGTTGCGGCGGAGCGGGCCGCGAGAATCCGGCCCGCGGAATCTCCGCGCTCGCCGACGGAAGACCGTCATTCCGCGGAGGAAGTTCCGCCGGCGGGGAACCGACCGATGGAGATCCTCTGGACGGAGATCGAGCAGGCGGATATGTCGAGCATCGAAAGATCACAGATCCGCCACGGTAGATCCAGGAGCCATTTCGCGCGGCAGAAGATGGAGGATTCCGCGAGGGATGGCACGAATAAGGATGCGGCAAATAGGATCAGAGGCGACGTTCACGAGGATCACGAGAATCACTTCAAGACGCGTCAAGTGGAAAAAGTGAGTGATTTTCTCGAAGGATCCGTTTCACCGAGGCGTAATCACTCTTGGCTTCTCGAACGAAATTTCTCAAAGGATAACTCGGTCAACAGCCAATCGCTCGATCGAATTGAGAATAATGTTTCAGAGGGACTGGAGAGTTTGCTCAAGCTGTATCAGGGTAAGAAAGGAAGCGTCGCCGAAGAGAATTCCGCTGTTCCCCTCGCGCGTAATCTTTCCTGGCTGATTGAACAGAACATCCCCAAAGATAATACGAACGGCCGTGCCTCGAATCAGATCAAGGACAAGACCGGGAGGGATCTTCAAGATACACTCAAAGTGCATTATTCGGAGAACCACGGCGTACTGCGATCGAGCCCCGATTCGCTCAAGAGCTCTTACAAGGACAACCCCCTGAGTAAATTGAGGAAGGCAATGTCCTTAAACAGAACCGTTGCGCCGGCAGCTGCGATCGACCGTAATACAACGGAGGCGCTTGGTATCGACGCGCTCGACGATATCAGCGAGTCCACCCGAGACCTCGAGGAGGAGGCTTCGCAGGACGTGGTGTTGGATTATACGAGCTACGAGGAGCCGGCGAACGCCTCGTCGTCCTCCTCCGATCAGTCGGTTCGCAGGAGACCGCAGGCCGCCCAGGTCGACATCGTGACGCGTTTCCTGCGAATAATCGAGAATCAGCACATCCTGGGCGAGAACTGCACCGCGGGCACCGATTTGAACCTCGGCGAGGGCGTGGTGGACCAATATGCGCAGGAGAGATTCCGGCTGGAGGCGGAATTCGCCGTGAATCGTGCCAACATGCTCACCCGGCTCTGGAAGTACGCGCCGGAAGTGATGCTATCCTCCGAGTATCTACTGCACGCGAGCGTTCTCTCTATGGTCGAGTTTGACGAAGACATCTTCGCCGCCGGCAATTGTTACGACAAGTTACAATATCGGGGTCGGTGGTTGTATTGCCCATTCGCCCACCGGTTGCCCAACCAGGACGGCATCCTCGTCAAGGATCTCGCGATTCAATACAAGTATCTGAGCAACAGCAGCGAGTGGTTCTATATTGCGAGGAAGAACGCCGAGAGGGTAATTGCCAGTTACGAGCAATTTAGTCGAGGTAAGTTATTACTGTATCACAATGTAATTACTGTTTTCTTGATATTGCAATTATTGATATTGCTAGGTTGGGAAATCAGCAGTATGAAAGAGATTCATTGAGTTTTTTCACGAAGCTGTTCAGTAGATTAAGTGAACGCTTCCTGAAGTAAATTTTTTCAAAATTACTTAAAATAATAAAAAACGAAAAGATTAAGCGAAAAAATATGTCGTGACGTTGATAGAAAAATGACAAATATAAAATATTATTTTTGAGATAATGAAAAGAAATTGACCCAAAAGACTTTAGGCTCGATTTTCTTTTATCTCAAAAATCCTAATTATTGACTTGTTTTCTTTTGAAAAGAGAAATATATGGAATGACTATTTAATAAATTATTATTAAACCAATATTAATTTATTAAATAAAGAGATTTCTTTGAGTTTTTAAAAGACAATAGACGCTCATCGATTGATCCACTTACAATTCATTAAATCTTTCTCTCAATTATAGTTATATACGTACGTACAATTATAGTTAAATGGAAAAAATTTTTAGATTTAAATTGACTGATTCTAACGTAGAATTACGTTAGAAATCTCGTGAAATACTTACGTAAATACTTACTTGTATATACGTAATTAATGACTCATAGATATTATTTTTATAATTTGTAATTGCATGTAGACCAGATATTAAGCAAGCTGATAACAAAATGCGGCGCGGACGTTCGTGAATGCCCGCGGGCAAAATTACAGCAACCGTGTACAGCCATACAGTAGCGGTCAATTAGTTTAGCATGCAGCAGTAATAGGTAGTCGTGTAACTACAGCGATAATTATAATACGATACTCAAATTTGTGATATATATATTATTAACAAAATTATTACTTCATTATATACCAACGATTCAAATCGTATATATCGCGTTTAACTGATTTATTTTGTTACTATTCTTTTTTATTATATTACAATTTATTTTGGCATTATCGTCGTCGTTTCGTATTGTAGTTTCGTACCGAATCGGAATGTATTATCATATTTTTGTGCCACGAATATTGCTGTCTACCTTAAGTATTTCTTATCTTAGCTGTCTCTTTTTGCCATCTCTTCTGCTTTATGCTTTTATACACTCGTCTGCAAGACGATGGTGCTTGCAGATGCCCGCAGGGCATCGCCCATCTGTCAACTTCTTGAATAAACTGTTTCATTTTTAGCAGACAGCTGCAATGATTACATCTTTCGTTTAACTTAATCTTTTTCGCTCCGCAAACGGAAAATGTATGTCGTAAAAGACTTTACCTCTTTATTTAATCATTTTAACCCATTTAATCCATTATGTCTAATTAGCGAATGTTTAACAATTAGTTTTTAATATAAGAAAAGGCTGCTACTATTTGCAGTCATTTGATTAACATTAATTGGCGCCGTGCAAATTAGCCATCCGTGAAACTTATGAGAACTTTTTGCGGGACAATTTCGCGCAATAACGATCTGTATGAAGAAAAGTCCGTAATTTTCCGCAGTTCACAAAGAACTTTAATTTACGATGAGGCGTGTATAATCATCCTTTTGTAGAATATAAAGTTCATTCTATATTTTGAGATGTATCGTTGATTAAAAAAAAAAAGGCTACATTTACTCTCTATGAAAAACAAGCGCGTCACATTGTAGTAAATATGTATTTTCAAAGGAAAGACTTTTTTTCTTCGATACCGCTTTTTTGTCTTACATAAGTCGCTTAAGTTTAAACTCGCGAAATATTGCTTTTCTCAGTAAACGATTTAAGCTCGTTAACCCTTTGCCGTGTAACTTTTTTAATCTCGCTGATGGTAGGCAGACGTCCTTTTTAGGGTGCGTGCGAGGAAAAAAGTACAACAGAGATACGAATACGAGATAAAGAAACAGGTCATTTCTGACTATGTAATTATCTTTTAAATGTATTAATGAAATTTTCTCCCTGCGTTTCTCTGAAGTCGTAAGTTTTATTTTTCTTATTGCAGGAAAAGTTGTATTAATACTTTGTTAAATAAACATTTGTCGGAACATTTTCATTCTTTTACATACTATTTAATTATTAAACGAAAAGAGAATAAAGTATATTTGACTTAAAATGAAAAAAGTTTTGATAGCTTTTTGTCTGACTTGTATAAAATTTTTTGTACACTTTTGTGTTGAAAATTATTTTGCAACAGAAAATAAATTATTAAAGAGACAAATAAAAAATGAAGAAAAGAATGGATGAAGATGTGTGACACATTTCTGCTTTAAAGTTTAGTTATCTGCATAAACTGTATTTCCATACATAAATTGCATAGATCTATTTTATGAAATATTTAGCATGTCGTATCATGTATAACATATTGTAACTATTTTTATTTCTAATTATGTTAAATGATTCACTGAGAAAAATCATATTTATCAATGATTAGGTATCAATTTACTTCTTAATTTACGAGTCATTGTAAATTAAGTTATCTAACAAAATAAAGCTTCAGAAAGTGATTACATAATTTTTAATCTTATTTTTCAATTTTTTTTAAATATATTATATTTAAAAATTTTAACCTATTTGAGCTATTATAAATTAAGATAACTTATTTAAATGAAACATTGATTGTATAATTTTAATCTTATCTTTTATCGATTACTTTTAAATATGATATTTCGTAATTTTGATTCAAGGCTTGGTTACGAAGTCGTTCAATATAGAAGAGCAAAAGATGAAAAAAAGTACAATAGAGGAAAGGAATCTTCTATGGGATATTATTCTTCTTGATGGAGAAAGCGGATTGCATGTACTGATGGAATCGAAATCTTTGCCGATAATAGTCCGGTTACCAGTGAGATTCTTCAGAGTAGAAATAACTTGAGCAAAGGGCTTGCGAATTGAGTTTCTCTTAACAAGATACGGTGAATGTTCCTTAGACAAAGTGAAACGCAACCCGTCTCTGTAATTTCTATTTCTCAAATCATCAATCTCTGATCTTTCAAATCTTCATCTGCTCTGTAAAGTTAAGTCTTATCTCAGAGGAAGAATGTCGCTAATTGAAAGTTGTTAAATGGGTGAATTACTCGAAGAGGAGCTTTACGTAAGAGATGAGAGGGCGGTGATAGAGATATACGGGCAATACGGTGAAACGTTCGAGATCCTTTTAAAGTAGATGGAAAATACCATGTGAAAGTTTAAGAAATATAAGGTGATAGCTAAACACAGCTGTCGAAGAAATCAGATGGCGAGGAAGCGATGTGAGAGATATCGATGAGTAATGCGTTATGTAGCAGAAACAGCAGAAACTGCTGCGGCGCTGACTTCTCTTATTTATAGGACTTTTAAGCAGTATTCCATGATGTATGCCGTGGACGTTGAGCCAAGGAGAGTAGACGTATATGCGTTACATGCAGAAAGTTACGCGCGATACGGCTAACGCATATACATATTTATTAAATGCATTATTTATGCACCAACGGAAAAAAAATCTGATAAGGGATAAATTTTCCGATATGGATTTTTTTGCACGTGAGACACGTTACGGCCAGGTTTCGCAGCTCGAAAATTAACATTAATACTTAACGCTGATGTGAAATATGTGCGTAATTAATCTTTGAAAGTAACGTAAAGTGGTAGATACATCTCGGAATTTTAGAAGAGGAGAACGAAGCGATGGGACAAATAATTAATTCTAATGGGGCTCTTATATATTGCACTTTCGAGGACGAAGAATTTAGCGCCGAGCGTAAGAGCGGTTCTGGGAAATGTCCAGGAGATAACAAAAATAACCGAAATAAACCGTCCGCGCCGTATAATGCGGAAGTTCAAAAAGTATCGTAGCGCATCATATATTTTCATTTTTATTCGCGGATACCTCGCGTGTTGCGAAATCATCCGTCATTTACGTTCCCTGCAGAATTACGGAACCTTTGTTATGCGTCCGTATTCGCAATATGAATTTAATACCGCGCCCTTTGTGCACGACTGTTAAATTAGAAATTCAAATGACCCGATCATTTCGCATTCCGCGAGTGCTATCGAATACTTGGCATCGATCATTTCGCTGGCGGATTTTCAAGTGATCCGCATAATAAGATGATAATGGTTAAAATTATAATGATTGCATATTGCTTGTGTGAATTCATACGATTTGTTTTATTCCTTTGCGGATCGCAGTCCCGCCGCTAATTATTCAGTGCTTATCCCACTGTTTCAAATTGAACTTGCACTGAGAGAGAGAGAGAGAGAGAGAGAGAGAGAGAGAGAGAGAGAGACAAATCATGGGATAGAAATGATACATGGATAATCAGTGCTGCTGGAGGAATTTAGTACGTTCTGTTTTCGAGTATAACCGTCTCATTAATTATGCAGTGATTATTATTAATTGTGACAATTGCCGATGCGTCGGCCCCTTTATTTATTTTTTTATATTTTAGATTCGTAATTACGTACAGTAATTATCAGATGCTGCAGTGCGCGCTCAATGGAAGAAATTTTTAATCACCGAGATAGGATTGGATATCGATCTTGTTGTTCTTATTAAAACAGAAGATTCCGTTATTTCAAATATTTTTATGTATCTACTTGGGTGATTATCCATCCGTTTATCTAATCTCTCTCATTGATTCGTCTTTCATAATTTCTTTGCCGAGCCTGATTCGCGAATAAACACGGGGGGATTTTGCGCAAGAAAAAACTTCGATTAGCGTTGAGTTTGTGCTTGTATACACATTAGACCCGCGGACGTATTTTTATATGTGCATGCACCCGAATAAGAAAAGGGGCGTGATCGATCGATTCTCTGTACCAACTATCAAAAATAACTGGCCTTTTGACCTCAAAGTATTAGCCGCAGAAACATTAGCGCTTCGCTCGTTGTTGCGTTAATTAGCACGTAAATCAAATGTACATTAATTAATGCATAAGTCAATCGCACAATATGCCGCCGACTAGTGGAACATTCAATATTTATGCAATTACCATTGTTCCCTATTCGACTGCTTATCGCCGTTTGACCTGTTTTATTAGT